GACTGTTTTGCACTCTCCTGAGAGCCTCTTTGACATCCTTGTTCCTCAGACTATAAATGATAGGGTTCAGCATGGGTGTCACTGCTGAATAGAACACAGAGATCACTTTATCTCTTTCATTCATTATTTTGGAGTTTGGTCTCATGTAGGCAAATATGGCTGACCCATAGAAGAGGATAACAACAATGAGATGGGAGCCACAGGTAGAGAAAGCCTTGAGCCTCCCTCCCCAGACTGCATCCGGATCACAGTGGAGATGATATTCCAGTAGGAGATGAGGATTAGGGAGACAGGAGCTAGAAGGATGGCCACACCCATTGCAAAGATGGCCATTTCTGTGCTGTAGGTGTCAGCTAAAGCCAGCTTCAGGAGGGCAGGGGGCTCACAAAAAAAATGGTTAATGATATTGTTCCCTCTGTAGGGCAGCCACAGTGTGAATGTGGTGTCCACCAGAGACACAAGCGCTCCACTGGCCCAGGACCCTATGGCCATCTGGACACATACCCAATGTGTCATGATGGTGGAGTAGTGCAGCGGCTTGCAGATGGCCACGTAGCGGTCATAGGACATCACTGCCAGTAGTGCACACTCAGTACACCCAACCAGCAGTAAAACAACTATCTGTGTTGAGCATCCAGCAAAGGAAATGGCCTTCCTTCTTACCAGGAAGTGGGCTAGCACCTGGGGAACTGTGGTAGTAGAAAAACAGAGATCAGCAAAGGACAAGTTTCTAAGGAAAAAGTACATGGGTGTATGGAGCCTGGAGTCTACGTGAGTGAGCACAATGATGAGCAGATTTCCCAGCACAGTCAGCAGGTAGATGATCAGAAAAAGGAAGAAGAGCAGGACTTGTGTCTGTGGATCCTGCGAAAGGCCCAGGAAGACAAATTCAGTCACGTAAGTGTGGTTTTCTTCTCCCATGAACCTTTAGTACTGTTTATAGGTTAGCACCAAGGAGGGAAAAAACACATACTGGTCAGTTATTTTTTTTTTAATCTGAGAAACTTAAGTATTTTATTAATCAGTATCCCAACTGGGCCACTGGTGTCCACCTCTTGTTTCCATGTGTTAGAAAGCAGGATTCTTTTTGCTCCGTAGTTCGGATAATGGAAAGCTGTTTCTGATTTTCTCTACCCGTGAATCTTTCAATACCACCAGCGGGGCAGAAATCATCCTAAATGACCCTTGGCTGGACTATGTATGGTTCTGAGGAGACTATAGTGCTGCTCACAATACCAGGTTTTTTTTCCCTGTAGGTTTGGGAAGCAAATATACTGAAGTTGCTTTAAACCAGTTAGATTTTTATGCTGCAAACTGACAACATTTATGAAGGCTGATTTTTGTCTTTATATTTACAAATTCTAAACACGTACTCTGAGCAAGGAATGGGATATTAAAGGAGAATATTGTTGTCTGTGATCCTGGCCCTTAAACAAATTCTTCTGTCATTTGTTCTCAGTGTGAAGTGGGTGGGTGCTGCGGAGCATCAGTAAATATCGCTGCCTCATTGGTCTTGTACTCAGTGGCGTCCTTTAAACATGCTCTAATCTGTCCTCCACGCTCGTATCTCTCCCTGCACAAGGTCCTTTGGCAATAATAATACTAATTATCATGTGTTGGGTAGTCTCCTGGTGTCAGTCCTTATTGTTTCTTTACACTTTTATTTTAAATCCTAAGTCCAATGAGCTAATGATTATCCCCAGTATAGATGAAACAGACTCAGAAACTTCCAAGCTGGTTCCTCCTAAGCCTTCCTCACTCTTTCTATAGCCTGTAATTCTTTTTCTTATTACTAAAAAACTGATTGTAGAGAAGGTTAAACTTTAGCCCAATTCTCTCCATTCCTTGAAGACAAACCCACAACTTTTTCCATTTTAAGGGCTTTAGAGCCAGTCCACAACAGCAGCGCTCTCTGTAGGCACATAAATAAGAGTCAGGTGTATTTGAACATATTTTTAAAGCACTCTGGGTGGGTCTTGGCCAAAGGACAACAGAAAGAATTAAAGGAAAAGTGGTAAAGATTATTGTGGCTATTCGACTGCATATTTTAGAAAAACTCAAAAGGGAGCCAATTCAAGCTTAATAGGACAAGTAAGTGAACAGTCTTATACTGTATACCGAAAATAAAAAGTAGAAATTTTAGTAAACAAGAAAAAAATTCCCTCACCATTGCTAAACTTAACAAAGTGTACACTTAAAAAACACTCAAGCTGTATTTGAGGAAAACCGTGAAACACAACATCTGAATAAATGAACATGCACACTAATTTTATGAATAGGACAATAGTCTTATAAAGACGTTCATCTCATCTGAATTAATTCATATATTTGCTGAAATTCCAACCAAGTTCACAGAGAATTTTTGTAATTGAATTTAATAATTTTATTCTAAATTTTATCTACATTAGTAATTGTATGATAGAAAATGAGCTGTGGAAAAGAAAAATGAGGGAGTAGAGGAAACATATCCTACCAGATATAAAATATATAGTCGATTTTTCCTTCCTTATTAATATAGTGTATACTGAGCAGGCATAAAACATTTGACCAATAAACATATTGTGGAACAGAAACATATCCTAATATTTATGAAAATTTAATATATGACAAAGGTGGAATGTATCACTTAACAAAAGATATGGAACAATTGTCATAAAAGTCTGAGATTAGAACCTAGCATTTCCCC